AGGGCAGATACTTGCACCATGCAGTAGCCATGTGGGTAGCAACGGAAACGATCGAGTAAATACGGAAACACTATCCCCACATTCGATCTCATCATAATTCCTATACATATTTTCGATATTTCATTTAATTCAGTCATAACATGAACAGTGACACCAATCCTGAGCGCAACAATGCATCAACAATTTTCGGCGGTCTTTTCAAATCACACCATCTCACTCAATTGCGACCCATCCCTGACTCTATTGGGGTAACTACACCCAACTCGCCCGGCCTCATCCCCACTGCAACCATACCCGCCCCCTTCCCCACCGGAGACCATAACCGCCTCCCTCCGACGGAGACCACATCCGTCTCACCCCGAAGGCCACACCCGCTCGCCCCCGCTCGCCCACCACCGCCTCTCACCGATGGCGACCACACTCGCCCCCCCCCGACCAAGACTACACCGACCTCCCTCCAACAGAGACCACACCCGCCTCATCCCGAAGGCTACACCCCACCCGCCCAACCCCGACCACAACATCCCTCCCCGACGGGGACCACACCCGCCTCACCCCGACGAAGACTGCACCCCGCTCCCTCCGACAGAGACCACACCCCCCTCCCCCCGACGGCGCCCGAACCCACCTCCCCCACACGGCGACCACACCCACCATCCCCTGACGGCTGCCACACTCATCGCCCTCAGACAGCCTTCCCCTTTCCACCCAGTCTCCGTCAGCCTCAAAGTTTCCGCGTCAGTATTCCCGTTGAGACTTAGAACTTTCATGGAGTCAATAACGCCCACAGACGCTCAAGCCGCGTTAAAGATCCTCGCAGACGCGGCCATTAACCGAGAGGCGGCTCTTGCGCAGTATACCCCAGAACCGCACGCTGACACCGATGTGGAGAATGATTCAGACAGTCCGATTCTCGATGCATTTTACAATGACGGCGGGAGGAGTGCCATTGTTCAGCTAACGAACTTTACAATCAAGGAATTTCTTCAGCTCTACGGCAAATTTAGGACCTTCTGGCCCATAATTACAACATGGGCCAGGGGCGACGATCTCAATACCGTATTGGTGTGACACCGCAAAGGATGCTCTTTTCATGGCCATGAAACAGGTAACTAGGACCAGTCCTAGTTACCCTCAAGCATAGAGGGCAATGGGATTATCTCGGTCAGACATTTAAGAAGAAGGGTGCCATATTTGAGAGATCGGTTACACGTTTCATAATTCTAATCTCTGCCCCATTCTATGACCTCTTTGTACTGGACAAGGCAGAACGATGGCCAATGTCGGGACTTCTGGACGAAAAGAAGACATTCAAGCACTTTAAATTGGCGCGGTATGCTACCGATGTTACGTTCCAACAGGCGAACCAGCCGAGCGGCAATATTAAAGAGGGGAAAAATATTTTGGTGGCAAACATAAATTGTACGGGTTTAAGGTAGAAGTGTCCGTCCTGCGGACGGGCTTGCAGCAGAGTGTAGTAAATATTTGCTGGTTCGGTTTCTGATATCGATATAATGGTACATATGAAGGCATTTCACGACACCGCTTTGGCAAAAACTGAGAAGGAGAAGGATGTGCCAGACATTGATATACACTCGGATAAGTACCGAGACAGCTGGGCTCTACTCGCTGATAAGGGTTACCAAGGGGCCGTGGAGTTTGTTCGCGCTATCTATCCAAGGAAAACCCTGCCACGTCGGCTCCTATCAGCTGAAGATGAAGCTTTTAATAAGAATGTTTCAGCTGATCGGATAATTGTGGAGAACGTTTTTGGCTGTGCTTGCGGGTTGTGGGCTGTTTTGTCAAGTAAGTTTAGGTGAGGGAGAAACTGTACGACTCCATATTTTCTTATGCGTTGCCCTTACCAATCATAACGAGGAAAGACGAAGCTCCGGGTATGGGCTGGGATGAGGGAAATTTGGGAATCGGACGAGAAGTTTCCGGTTCGACACCGAACCGTGGGAGTAGGAGGAAGAGGCGACGCGCAGGATTTATTGAAGATGACAATGATACCCGGGAGAACGTGAGCGAACTTGTCGCAGCAGTAACCACGCTGGCATCTAGTGTGCCTCAACGACGGGGAGGGGAAGAACTCAACGATCCTGCAAGTATGTCTTACTCTCAGCTCGTGACAACCAGAGGCCATCTTATTGAGCAACTGACTAGCATTGATTCAAAAATGAAAGAAGCGGGGCCTAACCTGCACGCAGTTCTCCAGAATCAATTCGACAGCATTGCAAAGGCACTAGATAGACTACCGCAGTGCGATTCTTTCGCTGATTAAAGGACATATGGGGGTAAAGGAGCAAGGGAGAAAGGGAGGCAGGGGGCAGGGCGCTACGGGAGTAAAGGAGGAAGGGGGCAGGGCACCCCTCCGCCGCTTCACCTCTGCCGCGCCCCCTCCCAGGACGTCTGCCGCCGCCCCTCGAATGGTGCGAACCCCCCCTGTGTTCGCTGCTTTCGGCGGGGAGAAATCGGACGGTCGGCAATGCCTCTGCTACGTCATCTCATGTCCATCTACGTACAGCATGGTACGGGTCTCTCCGGAGCTTATACCCTACGTCGAAGTTCCCCGACTCGACCTCAGATGCTTACTATAAATACACGCGCGTTGATGCAAATCCCTATTTACCTGGCGCAATGTGAACTCCTTTTACGGACCTTTTTTATTGTGATAATCAGGAGGTTGTCTCTACGAGGGTCGAAAGAACCCCAATTCTTTGAGGTGGGCTGTGAGATGATCACGTACGTGTGATACTCTAAATCCCTGCGTCGGCCCTGGTCTTGGTCACGAAGACTACTCGCGGCCTCCCACCATTTATTAAATGCCATATCTAAAATGTCTCTATCTTGCGTGGACATTGCGCTGCGCATTGGCATAACTTTATTATCGATGCAGTAATTGTGAACTCTCATACATGCTGCCATCACAGCAGGTACCCTTGATAAAGAGACCTTCATCTGTCTCCAAAGAATTCCAAATCTTGCAATGAGCATTCCGAACCTCTGTTCCACATGCATACGGAGCGACGATTGATAAAAATTAAATGCATCCCGAGCATCGCCGTGTTCCGGATCTGCAATCTGCGAAGTACTCCACGGCGTTACGAGCGAATTTAAGCACTCAAATTCCGCGTCTGCGGCAATCCAGTAACCGGTCATCATTGTTTCACTATTTATCAACTGTATACCGAAAGCGGAAACTGCAAAGGCAAGGGATTCATGTGTACTTCCAGTACACAATGCAGACATATACAAAAACCTACAAGATGAGTCAACAACTGCCTGAACCGGTATACCGTAGTGTCCTTTGCGGCAGAAGTAAGCCCGTGGGACCGAGCTTTCAGACGGTTTTGCAACCTTTATGACAAGTCCCAATGCATCCCCAGAGTGGGGTAGGGGTAGATCTTGAACTGGAGAAGCCGCTAGCTAAGTTATGTAAAGAGTTAGCATCCTGAAGCGGTACGCCGGGTAAGTGCAAGGTAGATAAAATTGCATCAATTGTACTGTGGAACACTTCGTACGCAGTCGAAGTCCCAATTCGAAAGAGCATCACTAAATCATGATGCGATGCCCCGGCAAGCATACGAAGCGTCAAAGCCAGCCTCACTGCTGGATCTACTCTTCCACCGCTGGATCAGGCAGCCATAGCAGTGTTTCGTTGCAGCAAAGGCGTTAGAGCATCAAGTAAACGGAAAAAGACATTTCGCGGCAGTCTAAAGCACTTCTGAAATTCATGATAGCTGAGGTACATATGGAATCGATCAAAAGCATCCCGAAATCTGATCTTTGTTATGCCTTTCTCAACGCTTCGTATATTTTCCCTTCGCCGCTGTCAGTTTTCCAAAAGGATTACAGCTGTTGTCGCAGCAATAGCAGCAACAGCTGCTGCGCAAGTAACATAGTCATCAGCATCACCGCATTCCTCGTCACCATCCTTATCACTCATGTGAAGTGCTCCACTGGAGTTGTCGACCGGCACCAACAAGCAGGGCACCAAAGAGGATACGCATGCTGCCCTTGAGCAAAACTGCAACAAGTACCACTAGATAACCGCAACTTGGTGGCGTAAATTGCGTGCGAAATCTGGACATGGTTTAGAACAAAAATGCAAATTGCACAAATGTATGATAATCTCGTGCAAAACGTAACGAACTAATCCGCTGTTTAGAACGATCCTTAAAACACAGTTTTTGACTGCTGATTAGTGCTATAAGCGCTGTTTGACGTATTTTGGTGGTATAAAAGTGTTGGGGACGACAGAATAGGACAGAGACAACGAAAGTTTTGTGAATGAATGTATCCGGCGATTGAAGAGCGCCAAAATGCGACAAAGATTCTTGGGGGAGCTGCAGAGCTTTGAGAGCTGCAAGAGGGGAGAACGTGATGTCACCCAGGTCTTAGAGTACTTCAGTAATGATCGGAAAGAGAAATGTTATATTTTGCAGTGGTTCTGAGGGACATCACTCGTTTTGCGTGCACGGTAGTGATGATTAGATCGCTGTTGTGAATGTTCAATACACTGTGGTGATTGTTCACCACACTGAAGTGATCACTCACACAAATTCAAGTGATGAAATCACCCAAAAACATCACTTTTCTACATGCTGGTCACCATGTATCACTATTTCTGAGTGATAAAAAACATCATCACTCTGGGAGCCTAGGGCTAATCTAATTGCGGTGATCGCTGTAATGTACTACTGTAGCGCGGGTCGGCTTACACTGTAACGCCATCAGCCGTCCGGGCTGACAGAACACGTGTAGTACACGTACAGTACCCATGCGTGCGCGCGCTTCATACACGTGTGGTACACTTGTGCACGTGTGCGTTGCGTACACGTGAGGTACACGTGGACACGCGTTGTAGCAATGTAGAGCGTCGGGCTCTAATGTAGCTAATCCAATCCTAAACTAATCGAGTTTAAATCCCCCACGGTGGGTTATGGTGCAGTGACGTACGGCGAGACATTTGACCTGTTGCGATCGAAAATTGATCGTCAACCGGATGCGCAGAGAAGAAAGGACGAGAAGAATAAGGACGAGAAGAATAAGGAGCGGAAGAAACGCAAGGCACGGGATGAGGTTGAGAAGCGGGCGAGGAGTGTAGAACGGAAGAAAAAGGCTGCGGAAAGGAAGCACAAGCGCGAGGAGCAAGACGTCATGCAAACAGCGAAACGCATGGCGCTATCTGCGGCGAAGGCCGCGCGAATTCATTCAGCGAAAGCGGGCGGACAAGCAGCGTCTGCTGGCTTTCCGCCTGCGTCCAGAGGCGTCGAAGCTGAGGCAGCACACAGCGTGGCGATCGCGCTAGCGGCCTTTTTTAATAGGTAAAACAATTTGCATAAAATCGCGGGACGAAGTTGAGGAGCTATCCCGAACCGGCCTCTAGGCCAACCAGGCCCCAACACCCCGATGGTACGTTCGCAAAAAGTTCTCTAACCAGGGCCAATGTAGATACCCGTAGGCTTGTTTGAACTCTCTCATTCAGCTCTATCATGAGACATATATATATTTGTATAGCTTCCGAAGCTATTTTGATGCATTTCCAGGCATTCACCTGAAAAGGGGGGCCCAATTGGGGGCCATGGAAATAAATTTACTCGAAATGGCAACTTTTTAGCCCTGTGCTCCGGTTTGTGACGATTTAGGGCGTCACAAAAAGTGAGACGAATTGTGTGACGATTTGTGAGAGTTTTGCTCTTTTCGCCGCCGTCATCTCATTCGTCTCACTCCATCTTCTCATTCGTCACACATGGTTTGTGAATATTTGTTGAATTGTAGCACTTTTTGAGAACGTTTTGTGATCATCACAAAAATCGTCTCAAACATCACACATTTTCGTGAATCTTTTGTGATGGTTTTGTGAGACGCATCTCAAAACTCTCAAACGTCAACCTTAAAATCACAACTCTCACTCTGACAGTGTGCATTTTGTGATGGATTTGTGTGAGTTTTGTGAGGGCATCACAAAGATCACATATAAAAGGCCCTCCATCTCAAAAGGCAAGCAAACTGAACAACGTCACACAAAAAACCTCCCTTTCCAGCCCTCTACGGCTAGTTTCCAGAGACACTTCCCCTTTCCTTCGTGCTCGCAACTGCCACAAGACGCACCATTGTTCAGAGGACATTGCGGGTAAGCTGATTGCTGAAAGGTTCCAACCGGGAGTTTGACTCTGAGCGACGCACTCCTCGACGAATAAGGCAGGCCTCACAAGCCCCAGAGTGAAGGCCGTAAAATATCTGTAGAACAAGGCCATCAGCTATGATTTTTAGATGGGTTTGTGATGGTTTGTTGATGTTGGAGATGATTGTGAGACAATGGTGTGAGAGTCACAAAAAAACTTGTGTGTGAATCACAAAACAGTCAACAAGAGAGCACTTCGAGATGTTGACGTCACACAAATAAAGTGAGGTTCACAAAAACAAAGCGAGATTCACAAAACTTGTGAGAACTTTGAGACGTTTGTGTGCATTTTGTGCAGTTTATGCCCCGATCACAAAATAGGACCACCCCACACTTTTCGGGAGGACACTACTCGAAAAGTACGGGTCTCCTGGAGACAAAACGTATATCTTCTTAACGACAACACAATTCTGCGTTCAACGAACCTACCCTCGGGACGTAGCGCTCAACAAGACCGAAGCAGGAGGAAAATAACCCGACTGGGGCAAAAAATAGCCGTCACAAAAAAGGAGCACAGGGTTAGAGATACCCACTGCACTGAGTTGCTCGTGAATAAGTCGAACTCCAAAAATCAGAAACGTACTTATTACTCAACCACTACCCTTCAAGGGTAGGGTGCTCTAAGATGCATTCTATCCAACGTGCTATATTTATTGCCACCACTGTACATACTTCGATCAATATGGAGATCTCGTAGCCTGCCCGAGCCACACGTCTTATTGAGGTTCTTTGCAAAAGTCTTCGGGCTTCCACCCAATTATGCCACCATTGAAAACGTCCACCGGACTCATATCAAATCTAGCTAATCCATAGTTACATGCCACTCCCTTCTGGTGCTTTAATCGATATTCCAAGACACCTGTCATTCCGCCAAGCACCGTTTCACAACACACGTAACCCATTCGATCCTTGACGATCTTCTCCAGCCCGACATCAGTATCGTTATTAAGGAAAAACGAACAAATAAGGCGAAGGAGAAGTACAACTCCGTACGCCGCAAGCAGGCCATTCAGGTTGATATTTTTTCGAGTCCTCTTTAAGTAGTCCATGTCTTTCAGTGACATCACGGGACCTTCATTTGCCAGGTCGTTCTCATCGAAGACTGTCAGTAGTGTTTCTTTTGCTGAAATGATCCCGACATGCTTATGTACAAGCAGCACGGTCTCTGCCAATATGCCCTTTGGGAATGTGGCATTGGAGCAATCGATTGGATCGGTCTCTACTGCATTTCCAGAGGTCAAAATTTGCTTCTCAGACGTCGCCTCATTGTGGTGAGGTTGAAGATGGCCACATTCCTTCGCCATAAAGGCCATGGCAGAATCAAGCACAAATTGAAGATCTTCCACAGAATACTTAACCAGAATTGCGTACAGTTGCTTGCCCGTATACATGGTTAGGGCTATCGAGGATGACAACATAATTCCGTTCACTCGTGCCAAGATATTGACTTGCAGAGGATAACGCACTTGGATCGCGAGTTTTGCTTTCTTCTCTTCAGGGCCGTTTTCAGTATATTGCCAGCGTGAGGCCAAAGCGAACTGAGTAAGCGATGAATCTCCCGGTTTCAGGGCGCTTAAAAGCTTTACAGACTTGGCAGTCTTTGCTGTGAATATCAGATTGCCTGGATCCCTTGCTACTCCGAGGGCGACGTTCTTAAACTGAACATCTCCAAAACTCAGAGTAGTTTCCTTGCGAAGGCTTAGCACTATGGCAGCAATATTGCAGAGTGGAAATAAGCTAACAAGCACCAAGAACTTCACTGCGGTAATGAATTTGATTCTTTCATTGTCTCTTGCGATTTCCGAGCTCACTGGTATGTCTCTTCCGTAGTACAATCTGGAGATAAAATCTAGGCGAAGCAGGTTGCTAAGTACAGCAAGAGGAGAGAGACTCCGTGCTAGAAGTATCACGTGAAGGTCACTTGCGGATGATAAGTTCCTTGCCTTGATCCCCAGAACAATGTCGAAGATCAATGCTGACAACTGAAAGGCAAAGAGCGTCGCAATGAGTGCCCCTACTTGCACAGAGAGTTGGGGATGTGCGTATTCCCAACTCAGTAGCCAGTTCTCATCCCCACTGTACGAGAAAACCTTCGTTGTCATGGTTTAGGAGAGCTGAAGGATCAAAGCCAATTTTCAATAACGACAGGTAGGCTTCTGGCTTTTCCGATCCCTTCAGGCGCGGCGCGCTCAACACCTGTTGCAATCGTCTTGAAATACATGGGAGAGGAGATTGTTTGAACGCACTTTTGCAGTCCGTGACATCCCACTCGGCATGGAATTCTGTATCAGGCTCCCGCGCCAACAACTCGGCCTGTATTCACGAACAGATGGATTCGTCTGTGAGGCCTTATAATGTTATACAGTATTATGCCGATTGTTTCGGTGCATGTTGTAATGAAGGGCTCCTCTGGACAATCGTGACCATTGTTGTCACTACCTGAGAGGTAGAAGTCACTACCTTCTACCTCTCAGTATCTACACTCGTGTTCGAGGATGACACTCAAAAAGTCAGTTTGGACACCATTTCTTTACCGTATACGCCCTCGGCAATAACATCTTGCAAAACATTGGGATGGCGGTTGTCAATGCACAGAGAGACTAATAATCTAATGAAGTTTCAATAATCAGCTGACTTTTTTAACAGGCGTTTTAGTTTCGAAGATATCAACATAAAACGTTTTGAGGTTGGTCAAATCGGCTCCTTTTTTGGGCATTCTAAAAAATGGCTGGAAAAGACGTGCAGATGTGCAGATCTCACCAAACTCCACCCTTCCGCAACGCAGAAGTCAACTACAGTGGCGAGAATATCTTTTTCCATCTTGTTGAGCTAGCACAAGTCGAGAAAAAATAAGTTGAGAAGTGACCTCACATGAGGTCAAATGGCCTCATATGAGGTCATTCGTCGTCTATACACTAGGCATCAGCTGTAAGAGACGTTTCGGCTTTCACGACAACTCGAGAGCATTCGGGAAAATATTCGTGTGTTCCTTTTTTTGGAATCTTACGATTATATCCACACAAACAAGTATCCTTCGAAGGGTACATACTGTAGTACAACGGTGCTGTAGTGTATCTCTTCCTTCTGAAGTGAGTGCTCTTCACCTTGGCTGTCACTTTCTCGGAATAACTTTGCTTGTAAATGCAGACAATGAGAGCGCTAAATGAAATATCCGCTTCTGACGCGCCGATGTCACCAAACTCCATCCTTCCACAACGCAGAAATCAACTGCGGTGGCGAGAGTATCTTTTTCCTCCTTGTTAGGCAAACACAAGTCGAGAAGAAATAAGTTGAAAAGTAGTCTCATATGAGATCACTTGTCGTCTATACAGTATTGTCGATCGGACCGATAATCCTCATGAGAGGACAAAAGTTCTTTCATTTTTTTCCGGACAACGCAACGTGCGATTTGATTTGATTTGATTTGATTTTTTTGCAACAAGTCCAACACGACAGGTAAAGCATTTGTTGTCGATTCTAGCGAAAACTAACTCGTTGATGCCCATGAAGGTGTTCAAAAGAAAAAGAAGTAACTTACAATAAGCCTTTTTCTCTAAGTATAAAAATTGCATGAAGACGTTGCGTGGCCTGCTTTGTATTCGGTTCGAACTTCATAAAATATTTAAGTCTAGTTCAACTCCAAAAAAATTGAAATCGTGGACATCAAAGTTAAAAAAATATAATTCGCTGATTTGTATGTTATGATAACGCTTGGTCAACCCGACGGGTTGACACAAGTACTGTGATTAAAATTACATGTGAATGTAACGATGCTTCTCGGCGGTTCCACAAGCAGCTTCTATTATCCTGTGCATAGTGCTCATTCTTTGGAAATACTGTAACGCTCAACACATCTTCGGCATAGAAGCCCTGGTCTTATCGACCCGATTTTGTGGGTCTCAATTAGCTTCGCATTGATTCCGCAAGTATACAGTATTGTAGCCCCCACGAAGGGGCAAAATGAAGGTATAGTAC